CTGAAGTCGGACGCTTAACCGACTGAGACACCCAGGCGCCCCTATTTTATTATTAAAAAAAATGTTTTTAATGTTTTTATGTATTTTGTTTCATTTATTTTTAATGTATTTATTTATTTATTTATTTATTTATTTATTTATTTATTTATAATGTATTTATTTATTTTGAGACACAGAGTGAGTGGGGGAGGGGCAGAGAGAGAGATGGAGATGTGGAATCTGAGGCAGGCTCCAGGCTCTGAGCTGTCAGCACAGAGCCTGATGTGGGGCCCGAATTCACGAGCTGTGAGATCGTGACCCGGGCTGAAGTTGGACGCTTAACTGACTGAGCCACCCAGGTGCCGCCCCTTATTATTTTTTAAAATTTATGCTCAAGTTAGCTAACATACAGTGGTCTTGGCTTCAGGAGTAGATTCCAGTGATTCATCACTTACACATAACACCCAGTGCTCATCCCAACAAGTGCCCTCCTTAATGCCCCTCACCCATTTTCCCCCACCCCTCCACCCCCATCAACCCTTAGTTTGTTCTCTGTATTTAAGAGTCTCTTATGGTTTGCCTCCCTCTCTGTTTTTATCTTATTTTTCATACCCTTCCCCTATGATCATCTGTTAAGTTTCTCAAATTCCACATATGAGTCAAATAATATATTTCTTTCTCTGACTTATTTCACTTAGCATAATAGCCTCCATTTCCATCCACGTTGTTGCAAATGGCAAGATTTCATTCTTTTTCATCATTGAGTAGTATTCAATGTAGTAGTATTCAAAGTAGAATTGTATATGTGTACCCCATCTTCTTAACCAGGATCAGATTTTTACTTTATTTTTTAATGTTTTAAGTTTATTTATTTTGATAGTGAGAGAGAGCACAAGCTGGGGAGGGGCAGAGGGAAGGAGAGACAGAATCCCAAGCAGGTTCCATGCTATCAGCGCAGAGCCCGACATAGGGCTCAAACTCACATAATGTGAAATCGTGACCAGAGCTGAGATCAAGAGTCAGATGCTTAACCGACTGCACCACCAGGCACCCCAACCAGGATCAGATTTCAAATGGAGACACATTTTACTGGCAAGCTTGCAAAGCACAGGTACCAATTTGCAGTGTGGCCACAGTCCATGCAAGAGGTGTTGCAAACCTGAGCTGGGGAGGTGACAGTAGGGATGGAGAGAAGAGGATGGACTAGAGACTTACTTAGGAAGTGAAACAGCAGAACTCAGTCGACTGGATAGAGGAAGGAAGAGAAATCT